TTCCCCCTTCTGGTACCCCTATAATTCGGATGTTGGAGCGTTTAAAGATGTCCTGGAGGTTCCTAAGTCTCTTCTCATTTTTTTTTTTAATTCTTGCTTCTTCACTCTTTTCCTGTTTGGCCATTATTTTCTTCCTTCTGGTTCACTCCCTTGATCTGAAACCCAGTTTCTTCTTCACCACTATTGGTTTTCTGTGCAATTCCCTTCATTTCAATTAGTTTAGCCTTTATATGTTCCTCTAATTTGTGGCTATAATCAACCAGCTCTGTGAGCATCCTGATCACAAGTGTTTTGAACCGTGCATCTGAAAGTTTTGCTATTTCCTTGTTGCTTAAATTTATGGGCTCCGGAGCTTTGAGATCTTCTTGAGCCATATTTGGTCTGTTCGCACTCATTAATTATGAGGAGCAGAGCCTAAGGTGTTTACCAGGGCGGGGCCTCCCAGGTCACTGGGTTGTGAGGCTGTATGTGGGGCAGGGTCAGAGCGGGGTAATGGTGGCCTCCTCTGCTGCCTCTTGGCACTGGGGCCTGCTCGGTCCATTGTCTCACCACCCACTCCCTCGCTGGTCTATCTGCCCACAAATGCAGGACCACAGTCAACCCGCCACCCTGCACCCTCATTGGGTACGCTGGTCGCTCACTGGGTCGCTTTTTGGGTCCCTCACTGGGTCTGCCCATTGCAATCGCATGCCTGGGATCCATGTGCCTGAGTCAGTCTGACCGAGTTTTCCTGTGCAACCGCGCTCCTCCAGCTGCTGGCTTCACCCCTCTTACTGGTCAGACTGAAAAATTTGTTGTTATCAGACTTACGAAAAGTTCAATTTTCTGTGTTCTGGCTGTGTTTTCTGTTGCTAATATTTTGTTGTCTCTCAACTTGGTTGTGGGAGAAAGCACGGTATCTCCACCTATGCCTCCATCTTGGCAGAACAAAGAAATTATTTTCCATTCAATTAATAGTCAGTTGATGTGATTAAATTATTGTATTTTATAACTTTGTTTTTTGAAATCAGTTTTACAATTTTATTCCATTTCATTAATACCATTATTAAAATCCTTCATTTTTTATACTATGAATATTCCATACTTTAACATTTTTTCTATGTAAGAGCACATATTTACAATACCACATGAGTGAACAAAATCCTTGAATGTCCAGCTCATTTTATCTCACATCATACAAAGAAGGCCCCATACCAGGAAGGGTAAGTGTGCTATGATATCATATCCTGAGGGAGAAATATATGAAGAAAAGGGATCTATAATTGTCCCATAAGCAGGATATACATATTTTGTTCATGGGGGACTTTGCATGTTGGCAAGGTACAGAACAAGGACTAGTGTGCACCTATCAGATGTGTCACACAAGAGATCAAAACTCAAAGCCAAGAACAGCAAAGAAAAGATGCTACAAAGATAATGAGAGAAGGGACAGCCTCATCTGCTGCTGGGCCATATAAACACAAGGTGATACAATAACCATGAAAGATGTGCAGGAATGACAATCAGACCAGAGGTCAGTGGAGCAATAACAGACTGGTCAGCATGTGGTCCCTTCAGTCTGAGGTGACTTAAACACCTGAAGTCTTCTTTCTGCACCTGGCTCTCACCTGGGCTCTTCACACTTACTGCTTTCCCTCATTAACAGGAACTGGGCTTTTAAACTGTTGTTGCATTTTTTAAGGGTCTTTTTTTCGATTTTTATTTATTTATCTTTAGAGGGGAAGGGAAGGAAAGAGGGAGAGAAATATCAATGTATGGTTGCTTCTCATGTGTCCCCTAATGGGAACTGGCCTGCAACCCAGGCATGTGCCCTGACTGGGAATCTAACCATGATCCCTTGATTCACAAGCCCCTGCTCAATCCACTGAGCTCAACACACCAGCCAGGGCCTGTTATTGCATTTACTGCATTGAATTAGAGATTCTTTTGACTTGTCCTAAGGGCATGCCTTTTACACTGTGACCCAGCATTTTTGCACACAGGCCCAGAAACACACACACACACACACTCATACACATGCATGAACAAAGGGAACAATGAAATGATTATGTAGGTACCCTCACTATGTATGGCGCACTCTAATATTTTCTTTTGTGCCCCCTAAATTCATTCTATTTCATTCTTATGAACTATAGTCTAACACCCTAGTTTATGCTGATCTCAGAATATGAAGAAATATTCCTCCACCATGTCCTCCTCACTTAGGTTGATACAGAGCACATTCTCTCATTCATTCCATCACAGAATACATGTTTATTCAGCTACATCCACTAAGTCTGGTGGGGGAGAAGGAATTTGAATGACATGCTTCATGCTTCAGGCACTCACTCTATAGCAACTAAGAAAGACATGAAAATAAATAAAAATCACACCAGTGGTGCTGTAACACCTCAGTTAGGGGTGTGGGAAGTGTCCTTTTCCTGCGCTAATATTAGGTAAAAGAAAAGGCTCAGAAAGAATCCAGTCTCTCTGAAAGGGGAGATGGAGTTTGAAGGATGGAGAGGGAGTGAACAGTTCCAAAGAGACCAGTGGGGAGACTCCAAGCAGAGGAGGATGAGTGAGTGCATCAAGGCCCTGGGCCTGAGGCTGTGGTATCAGGTGCAGCAGAGAGGCAAGCCCAATGTTTAGGATATCAGTGTGGGTGAGGACAGGGCTGTATGGAGGTGAAACTGGCAGAAAGGTCACAGAGACTTGAGCCATGGAATTTTGGCCTCTGTCTCCCCTGAGCAGTCACTAGGGAAGGCATTTAATTCAGAGAGTTCCATGATCTGCTCTGAAATACAGAAAGTTCTCTCTGAGTCCACGTGAGCATTTAGCTAGAGGGGTGCCAGCCGGGAAGATGGGAGAGACGACGAGGAACAGAAAAATGGCTGTAGAATTGGGGTCCAACATGTTGGGAAGCAGTTGGAGACATTTGAGATTCAGAAGGAAATAAGTAGCTTCATCTCATCCCAGTGGTCACCACTCACTTACCAACAGGAAGGAACTAAATGCAGCTCCTTTCATATAGTGTATTGATTATCTGTCCACGGTAGGCAGACAGATGCAGCAATGCCCACTATCAGGTAAGATCATTAACAATTTTTATGTTGTGCATCTGAAAAGTTAATGTCATAAACCAATGTTACCTCATTTTTAAAAAAAGGGAGCATATGAAAAAACATATAGGCTATACCAAAAAATACAATTAAATAAAAAATAAAATGGTTCAGATGTCCTGCAAGTTCAAATAGCTGATTTGTGGTAAATGAGTTGAAATCGGCCATGTAATCCAAAAGCTTGCATATACTATCATTTAGAAACTGGTCTCCATTTCATCTTTAAGAACCTCCACTATTGTCATTGTGTTTGCTGATACTGATTGCGTTTGTTTAATTTGCTTGTTTTTAGTAGGATGTTTCATGTGTATGGCATCTTGACAATGTAAAATATTACTCCTTTCTCTTTCATAAATTGGTTTTTGCTATTTTATCAGTCATTCTGGGTGTGAAGGGGATAGAACTGGGGTTAGGATGCTGACAGAATCAGGGAGTTTTGCCTCATCTCAATCATCAAGTACCACCTGACCCGTTAGATCTTCCCCCTTCACATGCACATTTTTCTCTGTTTTTAACCAATTTTTAAATTTCTTTTAAAAAGGACACAAACTGGCCATATGAACATGGAGTCCAATGATTATCTATTTGAGGTTTAACAACTGGAATTTGGATACTGGTTTTTTTTTATTGTGGTTCAAATACATTGGCCCCTCTTTTTCCCCTCATTACTCTCCCCAGCCCTAGCCACCCCAACCTCCCACCTTTAATCCTCCCCCACCATTGTCTTCCTTAAGAATCCTGAAACACCAGTTCAAAAGAACCTATGCACCCAGTGTTCATAGCAGCATGATTAAAATAGCCAAGTGCTAAAAACAGCCTATGTGCCATCAGTAAAAGAGTAGATAAAAAAGCTGTGGATACTATTTCTCTACTCATGAGAGTAAAGATATAGTCTGATGTTGACATCATGACTTGCATCCTTCCTTTTCCAATTACTGTGACAGGGTGAGAACAGCTTGGTGATAACAAGGCCCCAGGAAGTAGTCACCATGTGTGTGTGTGTGTGTGTGTGTGTGTGTGTGTGTGTGTGTGTGTGTAGGGCAGATTGACCTGAGCCCATATACTCCAAAATGTGTCCTTTAACAAACAGAAACCAGAATATTAACCAACCCATGAAAATAAAAGGGGCATCTTTACTTACCAGATTTTTTTGAAACAACTTTAATAAAATGCAGGGAATTGCATGTGAACAAGGGATTCTTCCTGTCTCTGTGTTTCAGCAGCAGCAGGGAGACCACCTCACTCTCCCTCATTCTCTGACAGCATCTCTCATCACTCTGCCCTTGCTCCTTCTATTCCCTATGCTGCGTCCTTTCTGAGTCCTGAATCTCTGAAACAAGTGTCATCTCTGGGCCTCTGCACTGACTTTTCCCCACACAACCCCCAATTTCCTTGTGTCTCACACTCTGTCTTCCTGGAAGTCGCTACTCGGGTGTCATCCTGTTTGCAGGGCTTCCTTGGGAGCCCAGTTTTTTTTTAAAAAGCCATCCACTCCCTTTTATACCTACTTTGTTTTTCTTCACCTGACACCATCTAGCATCATGTATGATATAAATACATACTATATATTGCTTCACTATCATTATATTCTAAGGATTTTGTCACTTACCATCCTAAACTTTTACCCTAGAATTTGGGATATCAATAAATATTCCCCAAGTGCATGAAAGTACTTCTCATTAAAACTATGTAACCATGACAACCTTGGGCAAAGGGACTGAAGAGGACAAATTCCTAATCAGAGATGTCATGGAAGGGGATGCCATAAATAACATGATACACACAAAAAATAGATATTATTTTGCTGCAAAATACAGTTGTAGTAATTGAACTATGCTAGTAAAATTTTCATTTGTATGAAAACTAATCATGCCATTTTTTTCCAACTAGCCACGTCCACCAATGGTACGAGGCAATAATACCTCAATTTCAGAATTTCTTCTCCTGGGACTGTCAGAAGAACCAGAACTACAGCCCATCCTATTTGGACTGTTCCTCTCCATGTACCTAATCACTGTATTGGGAAACGTGCTCATCATCCTGGCCATCAGCTCAGACTCCCACCTCCACACGCCCATGTACTTCTTCCTCTCCAACCTGTCCTTGGTAGATATTGGTTTCACCTCCACCACCATCCCAAAGATGCTGGTGAACATCCAGACACAGAGTAAAGCCATCACTTATGCAGGATGCCTCACCCAGATATATTTTTCCCTACTCTTTGCATTGTTGGACAACTTCCTCCTGACTGTGATGGCCTATGATCGGTTTGTGGCTATCTGTCACCCCCTGCACTACATGGTCATCATGAACCCACAGCTCTGTGGACTGCTGGTTCTGGTGTCCTGGATCTTCAGTGTTCTGGAATCCTTGCTACAGTGCTTGATGGTGTTGCAATTGTCCTTCTGCCCAGACTTAGAAATCCCCCATTTTTTCTGTGACCTCAATCAGATGACCCAACTTGCGAGTTCTGACAATTTTTTAAACAACATTGTGATGTATTTTGCAACTGTGTTACTAGGTGGTGGTCCCCTGGCTGGGATCCTTTACTCTTACTCTAAGATAGTGTGCTCCATACGAGCAATCCCATCAGCTCGGGGGAAGTATAAAGCATTTTCCACTTGTGCATCTCACCTCTCAGTTGTCTCCTTATTTTATGGTACCAGCCTAGGAATATATCTCAGCTCTGCCAGCACCCACAGCTCACAGTCAAATGCAGTCATCTCAGTGATGTACACTGTGGTCACACCCATGCTGAACCCCTTCATCTACAGTCTCAGGAACAAAGACATAAAGGGGGCTCTGAAAAGATTCCTTGTCATGGTAGTTACAAAGGGACAATCATTCTGAGGCCAAACAAAGTACCCTTGCCTTCTTGGCCCCAAATCTCAAAACCTTAAATTGTGATTCTTTAATCAGATTTTGGGTTTTGAACTGGCTCCTTCTATTTCTGTTCTGGAATTTCCTTTGTTTTTTTCAACTTCTTAGTACAATTTAACCCACCATTTTATTAAGCTTTTTACTTTGTCTATTATATATAGTTTTCCACATATATGACTTGGGGTGACTCATTCTGAACCCTTACAATAGTGACCCAGTGTCATCCTTTTGCATGTAGCTGTCCAGTTTTCTCAGCATCATTTATTGAAGAGACTATTATTTCCCCATTGTATATTCATGTCTCCTTTCCCTGGATTAATGACCTTATGTGTGTGGGTTTATTTCTGGGTCCTCTGTTCTCTTCCATTGATCTCTTTGTCTGTTTCTATGCCTGTACCATACTGCTTAAATTACTATAGCTATGTAATATAGTTTGCAATCAGGGAATGTGTTACCTGCAGCTCTGTTTTACTTTCTCGAGGTTGCTTTGGCTATTGAAGGTGTTATGTGGTTCCATGCAAATTTTAGGATTGCTTGTTTTATTTCTGTGAAAAAAATGACATTGGAATTTAGTAGAGATTGAATTAGACCTGTTGATCATTTGGGGTATTTTTTTTTTTAGATTTTATTTTTATTTATTTATCTTTAGAGGGGAAGGGAAACTTTAGAGAGGGAGAGAAACATCAATGTACGGTTGCCTCTAGTGCATCCCCTTCAGGGAACTGGCCTGCAGGGAATCTACCTGCAACCCAGGCATGTGCCCTGACTGGGAATCGAACCGTGATCCTCTGGTTTACAGGCCTGTGCTCCATCCACTGAGCTACACCAGCCAGGGCATGGGGTATGTTTTAAAACAAAATTCAACCTAGTAGTTCTGAAGACTGAATTGGCTTTGTTAAGTAATTTATTCTTGGAGTCATAAATCAGGCAGCATCCTATGTAGCAACCAAGAGGGACCTCCAAGAAGATGTACAGAATAGGCATTTTTTGTAGAAAAAAGAGGGGGCCAGAAAGGTATTAACAACAAAAAATAAAGGATTATTTTAGGGCCATGATATCTTTTCTTTGGGGAAGAGAAGGGGAAGGATTTGTATCTTACAGATTTTCTCTTCTTTCTATGGTATCAAGGGCCCATGTGACAGATTTAAATATCTGTACTGGACCAGAAAATTCCAGAGTGGTTGATTAAAATTAAGCTTCTGGGGAATTAAATCTAGATTCATCATCATGGCTTTTAATTCCAGCAATGCCATTTTGGGCCTGTGGTTTTCCCTTCAATGGTAGTATGGATATTTTAACAATATTAATTTTTCTAGTCCATAGACACAGAATAACTTTCTTTTTGTTTGTGCCTTTATCAATATATTTCAGCAATGTTTTATAATTTATCTCTAGATATTTGATTCTTTTTGATGCAATGGGAAATGGAATTGCTTTCTTAATTTCAGTTTATTATCTAGTGTATATACACAATAGATTTTTGTATATTGATTTTGTATGCTGCACCCTCACTGAATTTATTAGTTCTAACAGATTTTTAAAAATAATTTATGAGAGTGTAATAACATAGAACAAACAGGACATATTAAAAATGCAGGTTCTGGAAGATGTCGGGCAGATAGGTAGGAGCAGAGTCCAGTTCCCCTTGCCCACAGGTGGAACACCTAGCTGATCTTCTGAGGAAGAATGAACAGCCAACAGTACCTCAGCATATATGAAGATTGGAGGCCAAAATTGTAGAGGACATTGAGAAATCAGACAGTAAGGAGAGTGCCTTGGGACAATGAGGTCCTAGGGACCAGAGTGGGGACCAGGGCAGCTGCAGTCCCAGGCTCGGCGCTAGCCAGGTCTGCTGCAAGATTCTTGGGAGAGAGCCGGGTCAATGGCTCCTCCCCTGCCGAACAAGGTTTGAGCAGCACCAGGAGGCACCTGGATGCTTGAAGTCGAAGTGAGAAGGTATAAGGACAAAGTGGCAAACACACATGGGCAGTGTGCACCTGCTGAGACTGTGGGCACAGGCTGGGAAGAGTCGGCGGGAGAGACCCTGACCCAGACAGTCCCAAGTCTGGTTGGAGAGTTGGGCTGTATGAGAGGCCAGGCCCTTGTATGTAGCAGCAGGCTTGAGTAGGAGGACCTTTTCAAAAAGAAAAAAAGAGACAGTGGCTATTTGGGGAATTCTCCTGGGACAGCCACCCCTGCCTCCCCGGCTGTGCCTAAGCAGCCTCCACAGACTCAGCCCCTGGGCCTACCTCTGCTGCCAGGACTGTGACTGCACCCTGAACCCCGGCCCTAGTGGCAAAGGGCGCCCAGCTGCACCCGAGATCCCAGATGCAAGCCACCGACCCTGCTGGCTCCCCAACCAGTCCGGCTGCGGGAGCAATAACTGCGTGCTCACACCCCAAACCTCAGGGAAGGTGCGAGCCCAAACCCGTGGCCCAGTACCAGTCCCACGCCAGCAGCAGAGGCTCAACGCCCATTCCCACAGCCCCCAGGCCTGAGTGCACCTGTCCCCGCCCCCAGCCGTAGTTGCAGCTGTGGCTGAGGTGCTACTCCCACCTGAGGCCCTCACTACAGTGCACACCCGAACTGGGGCCCAGCGGCTGCTGGTCCCACCCTAGCCACGGAGGCCCTGGGCTCACACTCACAGACCCCAGGAGGAGCAAGCCTGACCCTGCCGCCCAGAGACACATAGCACACAACCCCACCAATCCCCGCTCACCTTGCTACAGCCAGAGAGACCAGGAGAACTGGTGTGGCTTGTTTAAAACCAGCAAGAGGTTTTCTTTCTTTCCCCCTTTTTTCTTTTCATTTTTATTTGTTTCCTTCTTCCTTCCTTTCCTTCTTTATTCCTCCTTTCTTTCTTTCTTTATTTTTTTTCAATTCATTCTACCTTCCTTCACTTTTTTCTTTTTTTTTATTCCCACAAGTGAGACAATAAACCCTGAAGCTGTGAAAGGACCAGAGTTGGACCCAAAGAGAGGTCATCCCAACAATTGAGACAGTGAGACAAATTTCACTTTGATACTCCAGAGAAATTGCAAGTTATTGTATATTTCTATTATTTTTTTCATTATTTTTACATCTTTAATTAGTATGGTTTTATTGCTCTTCTTTCTGTTTAGTCTTGCTTGCTTGCTTTGTTAAGTTGCAGTGTTTGACTGGTTTCCCTTGTTCTCTCTTTCATAGTGTCTTGTTAATTTTCTGTCTTTCACTTCACTTGTGTTCCAATACCACACTACTCTAGGTCCTGTACTTCCTATTCTCGTTATTCAGATCACATAGATTCTATCGTATAATTGTTGCTCCATTAGTACTGTAAATGATTGCTGTTTTATACAATTGTAAATACTACACAGCACCTCTCTCAGACCTCATTTCACTTCACTGTTTCCAGAACATCAACACTGTTGTGATTAACTCTATTCTCTCTCACACTACACCTATTTTTAATCCTTTATTCTCAGTTTACCTCAAAATCTGACTTGCCACAAGCTCACTGCTTTCTAGATTTAACTCACAATCCTTCCCCCAACCCCCTCAACAAGAGGCTTAGCTCTTTTCCACCCTTTCTAAAAAGTGGCTACTTGGGTGAAACATCATGATTAACACTATACATATCCAAAGGATTTCCTATCTCTTCTCTGCGGGTTGGTACATTAAATACCATAGAATACATTCCCGCTGTCTTAAACAATTTTGCCTTTTCCCTCCAACAGAACACAAATAAACAATGAAAAAAACAAAGAAACAATCCCCAAATGAAAGGAAAGGAGGATGCCTCAGAAAGAATGCTAAATGAGACTTCATTCAAGATGGAGGCATAGGTAGACACACTGTGCCTCCTTGAACAACCTAAATAAGGACAACAAAAATTTAGAAACAAAATAACAATCAGTCCTGAGAGAAAATTGAACTGTATGGAAGTCTGACAACCAAGGAGTTAAAGAAGACACATTCATCTAGACCGGCAGGAGAGGCAAAGTCGGGCAGCAGGGCAGAGAGGGGTCATGGCCAAAAAAAAAGTGGTGGCTGACAGACCCCGGCACATAAAGCAGCAGCTGGCAGACCCAGTGAGGCAGCAGATTGTGGAGGGGCTTGGCGCCCAAGGTAGCTTGCAGAACCAGGAAGTCTCACATTCGCGTGCAGATAAACCAGGGGAACCTGGGGAGCAAGACAGACCACTCAACCCAGGTTCTCAGCTCAGGAAGATAAAGCATCAAACCACCAATTGAAAAAACCTGTGGGGGTTGAGGTGCCAGGAGAGACTCCCAGCCTCACAGGAGAGTTTGTTGGATTGATCCACAGAGTCTCAGGACATACACAAACCCACCCACATGGGAATCGCACCAGAACGGCCCAGTTTGTTTGAGGGAAGTGGTGGAAGTGACTAAAATCCAGCAGAGAGTGGAGCAAGTGCCATTGTTCCCCCTTGGACCCTTTCCCCACATACAGAGTTACAACACAGCCACTGGGTTGCCCCACCAGGGTGAACACCTAAGGCTCCATGACTCACTACGTAACAGGAGCATCAAGACAAAAAGAATAGCCTCCCAAAAAAAGAACAGATCAAAGCTCCACAAAAAATATAACTAACTGACAAAGAGATAGCCAACCTATCAGATGCACAGTTCAAAACACTGGTGATCAGGATGTTCACAGAATTGGTTGAATTTGGTCACAAATTAGAAGAAAAAAATGAAGGCTACACTAAGTGAAATGAAAAAAAATGTACAGGGAACCAACAGTAATGGGAAGGAAACTGGGACTCAAATCAATAGACTGGACCAGAAAAAGAAAGAAACATCCAAACAGAAAAGAATGAAGAAACAAGAATTCAAAAAAAAATGAGTAGAGGCTCCAGGACATCTTTAAACATTCCAAAATCTGAATTATAGGGGTACCAGAAGGGGAAGAGGATGAGCAACAAGTAGGAAAGTTATTTGAACAACTAATAAGAACTTTCCCAATCT